CTTTCAAACAAACAGATTGCAATTCCATTTGCTCCCATTAGTGGCACAGTATGGGAGTGCTTCACTTTTAAGTTTACTGGTTTAAATAATACAGCATGTCTAAAACCTTGCCAATTCTTAAAGCAATAACGCACCATACCTCCCACAGATTAAGTTGAGGTTCACTGTGTTTGTTTATACTCATGGTTTTTGCCAGGATTTGAGGTCTTTTGCAACCTCTGGGGTTTGGTTGAGGTTTTGAAACAAAGCTTGAAAACAGTTTGTCATTCTTCTTTCTGGAAATGCCCCTCAGCACCCTAAACAAATAGAGGAATGTGAAGTGTTGGGCATAGACACTGGGCAGCAGTAATTGCATTAAACTGTGCAATCAAATAATAGCACATCTGCACAATGCCGCCTACAAAAACGTGACACATTTGCTGCTCTGGTTTGGTTTCCTCACTCACTTCAGGTCTGTGCATTTGCAACACCTCATCACATATGTGTCTGTAAACCCAAACCACCATAGATCCCCTTGGATCCCATTCCAACATCAAATTAGGTTACGGTTTATATTCATGAAGTCTGACTTTCAGTGCCGAACACCTGTGCCAGTTAAAAGCATGAATCCTGTGCAGGGGAAAACATCTGAAGATAACAGATCAGTGTTTAGCTAACAGCATGCTGTGAGTGAGTGCAAATACAGGATATTTTAGCACAGCGTTACACTTTCCTGACTAGACGTGCCATCAGCTGGGGTGAAGGTCAACCAGTAGGAATTCTGTGAGGCAATTCTGAATTAAATCGCCTAGTTGGTAGGACCCTAGATCAGATATTGCTCTTTCATAGCTCAGTAAATCTAATTTAGTTCTTCATTCAAGTATAGACATTATACTAAAATTAATTTATAGAGAGAAAAAAGATAAACAAATGAGACATTGCTGACATGTAGTAAGATTTAACAACTATAAAATGAAGGTGAATAGCAGATTTAATCATTTGGTTTTGGAAAAATTTGATGAGAAATGTTTGTTCATATTGAAATCTGACTTTTGATTGCAGACTTTGTATTTTGGCGAATGTGAGCACAGTTTGAGACATTGTTGAGATCTTTTTTGAAACTCTAGACACTTTTTCTTGTTCCGAGTGTTGTTATTGTTAACTACAACTAAAAATATTAAAAAGCGTTTTTGAAACAAAATAAAAAATTTAATAAAAATAAATGAAATTAGAAATAAATAGATGAAAAACTTCAACTTAAAATAATTTTGCTTTGGAAACTAACCTAAAATAAATAATTTGAAGCTGAAGTACCTAAATTATTAAAACTAAAACCAAAATAAAAATGTATATAGAAGTATAAAAAAGAACAAACATGACAAAAAACAAACGAACAAAATATACTAAAATGTAAACTAAACCTAAACTGAAAACTTATACAAATATAAAAAATTAAATTAATAAAATAAATATAGATAAACATAAACATAGATATGTAAGGGATAATGCACGGCTAGCTATGTATTAAATTATTTTAATGCATGACGTGGAAGCCAAGAACCACCCAACGTGAAGCGGAAGTAACTAAAACAATGAAGCTGTTTAGCTACTTCGATTTTACCTCGTTGCTGAGAGAGATAATGTAGCGATCTAGTATCTATTCTATACTATCTTATTAATAAAAGTCGCGGGTCAGCACTGACAATAAGTTTCTGTGTGCATGCAGCGCAATCTGCAATCTCTGACCTCTCTCCCTCTCACTGTGTTTATGTGCAAGTGATATGTTTATGTGTGTGTGTGTGTGTTTGTGAGGGTGTGCATCAATTGAAGCAGTGCATTAATATAGATCAGTGATTAAACTGACTTGGAACTACCTGTGCATTAAAACAGTTTAATTTAAACTGTGTTAATGCATACCTGCCAGCCAATCAGAATTGAGTATTCAGACCGACCATGGTATAAATATATATAATATATTTATCTAATATATATATATTATATGAAAAACTTAGCAGCTAACCTGAAATAAATAATTTGAAACTGAAATACCAAAATTACAAAAAAATCAAATAAAAATAACAAATGCACATAACAAAATCACTCAAATGTAAACTAAAATGAAAACTTATGCAAATATAAAAATATAATTTATATAATAAATATATTTATAAAAAATGTAATATATTAAAATAAAAGCTATTTCAAAATATTAATAAATACTATATTAGTTTAGAAATACAACTAAAATAACATTGAGGCTCTTCAAAATCTAAACAAAAAAAAATAATAAATACAAGAGACACATTTTGACTTTTTTTCATATGGGTGATCGCATGTACGTGTTCGTTCTTCTTCATTCTAACACACCACAACTAATTATCCTTGTGATGCATAACACATAAAACAACATAAGTGAATCAAGTCCTCTGATGTGTGAGTGTGTAACGGAGATATATTCACGTGACCTGTTATATATTAAGCTTTCTGTCATGTACCTCACAAACCAACCTGAAATTGGTCTTTATTTGGGCTTGATTAACACTTAACATTCCTGGTAAATAACACAAAACAGCTGTGTGGTGTTGTTTTGAAGGACATCTATGCCTTAAGCGATCTTCAGCACTTTAAAATAAAAGTGCATACTTGTGCATACTTGAGTAGCCTGTGTTCCTGGATCAATTTTCTTGTTGACCTCGAACAACATTTGTTTAAAGCTTATGGTTAAGTTTAGTGCTGTCATTCCCATTGACTGTAGGGTGGGTTAGGATTAGGTTTAACCTTAGGGACATGGTTTGGCCTATGATTGTTTGCTAGGAAAATTATTCCAGGACAAATAAACAATGTAGATCCAGGAACATGTCGTACTTGGGTAAATTGTGTTATGCATTTTAGTTTAGTATGTCCTCAAATTAAGTTTGCCAGCTGCAGGACCTTTAAAAAATAACAATGGTGAATCTCACATAGATATACCTAGCTCATATTTCACCCCAAAACAGAAATTTTATTTAGCATATGAAAATTATACTTTGCATAAATATTATCCTCATTACATTAAAGGAGTGGTCGATCAGCTTTTTTTCTTTTTAAACACATATTTTAACTTTATTCTACATTAACTTTATTCGTTATTCTATTCTATTACATCTTATTTTGTAAACATTATGATACAATTATTTTTAAATGTTCTCTGAATGTTATGAAACAATTAGTAACATTTAAAAAAATGTTAGACGAATGTCCAACTAAAATGTTTTAGAAGAAAAACGTTCCATGAATGTTTTTGTGCTAATGTTTTGAGAACATTATTAAAGACCGGCTTACTTTGAATGAACATTCTATTAACGTTACTTTGTTCATAACGTTTAGAGAACCTTACCAGAATGTTAGCCAAAGTTCTAAGAATGTTCCCTTTAGCTGGAATAACACGATCGAAGAAGTTGAAATTTGTCATGTAAAATCTTTGATACTTTTCAATCCCAGCATTATTAATTGTACAGAGCAACTAAAATGACCATCAACAGCCAATCGAAATTCAGCAGTTTATAAAGTCAAGATCAAAGAAGCTGAAAATTGACTCCAAACAACTGTATCTACAGGACTTTTTCTTTCAAATGTGTCTGTTTTGGTCATGTGCCCTTGGACCCAAATAATTGCAACTTTCAGATTTTTTTTTTTTTTCTTGTGGTCTTGGGGAGTTTTTGTGAGACTCACATCCCAATATCTTTTTAAGTTCAAGATGAGCTGAATGTACAGCAGTGATCTGACCTCTGTTTGTGTGAGTTCTGTGTGTTTATGTAGTGGACTTCTCTTTAACACAGCCAGTGACTTTAGAAACGGGCACATTAGGACAGGGATGTTCTTATAGCTAGAGGAGAAATCTGAGCACAACTAGAGAGGTGATGATTCACACACACACACACACACACACACTCACTCACTCACTCACTCACTCACTCACAGTGTTATGATGAGTGTTGTAGAGTTGTGATGCATTTGGCTGTTGGCTGAAGGCAGAAGATGGGTCAGCAGAGGATCCGTGGCAGCAGATGGGTCAGCAGAGGATCCGTGTAAGCACTTCCTACTGCTTCTCTCCAGCATTAATGAGAAAACCACTTCAAAACAAACTCAACCTTCTTTTTAATCTGCTAATGGCAGGAACGGTAGCAGCGGCTGTGGTTCTACAGAAAACTCTGTCAGGATGAGTTCATTTAGCTATAGAGAATGTCTGGTTGTGTAGATTTTTAAACTGGGCTTAGAAGTTTTTCTCCCAATTTCATATGCATTGAAAGATAGAATGAGTTATTTTAACTATATTAAGAAAAATTATAATTCAATTATAATAAATTATACATTTATATTAAGTGTTTTCTGTGTTCAAATTGAATATAAATTGTTATAAGACTTATATTATATATATATATATATATATATATATATGTATATATATTATCTTTTTTGCTAATCATCTTTATCACTGCATATTTCAGTAAGTTGTGTAATAACAATTACTATTTTCATTTGTAAATAAAAATATCTTATTTATATAAAATATAAATATATAAAAAAGTTATTAATGATAAAATATACATTAAAATATAATTTATATTTTTGCATTATTTATACATTTTTAACTACACACAAACACGCACATATACAATTGCATATTCGAGTAACAAGAATGACTATTTTCATTTTTTGATATTTAAAAATGAATGACAAATTACAAATCAATTATATATACATGTATATTATATATACATAATTAAAAAAATCTATTTTTTACTTGTATACAGATATATATATATTACTTATACATTATTTATATATACAAATGTGAGACATGAATTATAATCATTAATTAAAAAACATATAAGAGGTAGTTCAGCCTTGCATGTAACTCAGCATAAGAATGAAAATTTATCAATGCATCTACTTATACTTAAATGCTTAAAGATATTAAAAACATATATTCCCGCAGAAGTAACGTGTAGTGATTAAACAAAAGCCTCTCTCTCTCTCAGGCTTGGCTGCAGAGGTATGGCTACCTCCCTCTCACAGACCCCAGAATGTCCGTCTTGCGGTCAGAACAGACCATGCATTCTGCTATCGCTGCCATGCAGCGTCTCTACGGCCTTAACGTCACCGGTGAACTGGATAAGAACACCATTGAGTGAGTAGCAGTTACACTCTCACACGGTCACTCGCTCCAATATCGACTGATTCTGGGTCAGAAGTTTAACATGATGTTGTTCTTCTCAGAGACTCTTTAACATCACTGACTGTGCACAGCAAAATACCCATAAGTGCCCTCCTGTTGCAAAGACCAACAAAGAGGGTTGCTAGCATGTTTATTTCCCAATCATGGGGAGTCTGTACCGGTTCTGACACTAACAATGCCAAGGTCATGGGTTCAGTTCCAAGGGAATTGAACCCATGACCTAATATAGGCCTAATAGACCTTAGTCAGGGTAGTCAGGGTCATATTTAATTTTTTTGACAGGAATGAAAATGAAGCTGTGAGGGATAGAAGTACAGTGCATTTGTCAATGGATTGTACTGTTGTTTAACAACATACCGATTGTTCAGTTGATGATAAAACTTTCATAAGTCAAAAACTCCATTAAAAACTGTTTTGAATGTCGTGAGTTGTGAAAATTATGTGATCTAGGACCTCTATACAATGTGTGCCATTTTGTAAAATCTATCCCTCGCAGCCTTGTTTTCATTTGTATTCAATTCAGTATGGCATCTAACCTGACTAAGATTTATATCTTGAATGCAAAGTCACTTTGGGTTAAAAAAATCTGCGAAATGTATGAATTTAAATTTGAACATGCTAGATCAGCATAAACCACCCTTTCAGATTTCATAAGGGTAATGGGTGAGGAATCACCTGATTTTATTTCAGAAATGCCTTTACACTGCTCAAAATCTAAAACACAATATGATAAATGTATATCTATGCATACTGAATATGATGTACAGCAGTGATTTCCAACCACACTCTTAAAAATAAAGGTTCTTTATTGGCATCTATACTTCCATGGAGAACTTTTAACATCCATGGCATATTTCCATTCCAGAAAGATTCTTTATAGTGGAGAAAAGTGCTTTAGATTTTTTAAAAGTTCTTAACAGAAAAAAAGTGTTTCTTTTAAGATCTGTTCGCTGAAAGGTTCTTTGGGGAACCAAAAATGGTTCTTCTATGGCAAAAACAAACTCTTGGAACCCTTGGGTACTCAAGCCTGTCCGATAAGGGCTGCTTGCAAAAGGTTGGGAAACACTGACGTACAACATCTGACCGCTAGGATCATGGTGATGTCGTAACTCTTATGTGATCTTTTTCTTTCTTTTTTGCTTCGGCATAGTGATATCACCATAAGGTGAGGCTGATTTTTCTCTTGTGATTTGTTTCTTGCTTTCAAAACCAAACTTGTCTCTGCTTCTCTTTCTCTGTGTGAACTCTGATTGAAGGGGATTGAGAGGGGCCAGTTTTATGAATACAGTAACCATAGTATCATATTAGTTGATTAATTGGCTGATATTTGGCCTCTAGATATTTGTCTTGGCATCTGCCATTGAAAAACATGGTGGTCCTAGTACTGCTAAATACTCAAGTTAATAAATATATTTCATGAGGTTGACATGATGTAAACTTTACATTTTGGAAACCTCATGTAATTGTGATGTTTTTCCTGAATGCTAATCAATCTATGAAAATTGTTGTGTTGTGTAGCTCAGACAGGCTGGGCTGAATGTCACAAGTGTGGAGTAATGCAATATTAATGAATCTACTTCTTTTTCTCTCTCAGCTGGATGAAGAAGCCACGATGTGGGGTGCCAGACCAGTTCGGCGGTGCCTTGAAATTTAGCGTCCGAAAAAGACGTTACGCTCTCACAGGGCAGAAATGGCAACATAAACATATCACGTACAGGTGAGTTACAAAAACACACTTGAAATGCATTTATTGTTCGTGCATTTCTGTGAGATTTCTGCCCAAAAAAAAAAAATTTCTTGTTTTCTGGTAAAAATATGTAAACATCCTCACAACAAGATGGCTTGTTAGAAGCAAAATCGCATAAGATACTAAGACTTGATGTTAAGACTTGACTTTTACTTTTCTTTTAAGCATAAATCTAACATCATTTTGTGAGGTTCATGCTTAAATCAAGAAAAAACTTTTTTGCCAGTGGGGTAAGAAACGCACACTCAATTCAAAATATATTCTCTGAAAACAAGTTTTAATATTTTATGCAATTTTGTTTCTCAAGTATAAATGTGTCTTGTTTTAAAGGGGTCATATGACGTTGCTAAAAAGAACATTATGTTGTGTATTTGGTGTAATGCAATGTGTTTATGCGGTTTAAGATTCAAAAAACACATTATTTTCCACATAATGTACATTATTGTTGCTCCTCTATGCCCCGCCTTTCTGAAACGCGTCGATTTTTACAAAGCTCATCGTTCTGAAAAGCCTACCATACTGTGATGATGCCCTTTCCGGCCGGAGCGACGAGACAAAAACATTAAAACCCATTATAAGCGAGGCATTTGTTGCATCCAGTGGGTACATAATTACTGATTATAATGACTTATACTGTCTTTTTACGCGTTGCGTTACATATCGCGCCGCGTAAACATAAAACCCTGTCTGCATTTGCACTGCTACTGATACACTGCTCAAAACTCGCATTTGAATCGTCAGTGGCGAATTCTTTAAATATAAAAAATGTACTTACAGGCTGCGAGTCAGAAGCGCCAGACTGTCATTGCAAAATTGAAACTGCCCCACTTTATAGAAACAGCCTTTGTGCACAGACGCATTGTAGGCTACTCTCCCAGGATCAGGAAACAGTCCTCCATAAAATGCGCTGGACACATCTGCATATTTGGGTTGAGAAAGGAAAATTTGAAATTGCATCATATGACCCCTTTAAGGATGTTTGAATATGTTTACTGGAAGACGACACTAATACTGATTAAGAAAATGATTTTTGCCGTGCCAGCAGCAGTGCTGAGATAATTAGGCTGTCAGATTCTTCTCCCTCACCTCACCAAATCCCTTCAATCGTCCTAAATCACTCCGTCCAACATTCTCATCTCTTCCCCTGTCCCAGCTGGCCTCTTTCCCTCTGTCTTTACAAACCTTTATTGGAACGACTTGATTAAAGGATCTAGTTGCTCTAAATTATTCAAGCCAAATTATTATCCAAATTATTTAAACTATTATAGCTAAATATATATATAGTACTACCATTAAAGTTTTTCATGTTTTAAAAATTCTCTTGCTCACCAAGGCTGCATTTATTTGGTTAAAAATCTAGTAAAAACACTAATATTGTGAAATATGATTATAATTTAAAATATCTTATTTCTACTTGAATATTATTCCTGTTATGCAAAGCTGAATTTTCAGTTTCAGTGTCACATGATTCTTCAGAAATCATTCTAATATGCTGATTTGCTGCTCAAGAAACATTTCTGAAAAACTATTTTTGGCATACACAGCATCTTTTTCGACCTACATTGTTACAATATGAGTTATTGTTCTTAATTTCAGTGACAAGTGCTTTGTATTGTTGTGACATGTATTATAGTAACATGATGCTCTGTCCTAAATGCAGTATTTCCACAGCTTATGTATGTATGACCTATATTCAAATATAACTACTAATTACATGTGCCTCAAAATAATCTTCCTGACAGTATTGTGTCGGTGGGTTTTTGTGACGGCTGTGTCAGAAAAACTGCCCCAAAACTCCTACCACTGTAGAACATAAGCAGAAGTTTATCCACCTTTAGAAACATAGTCCCACCTCAGAAGGCTTTAGACAGCTGAACAGCTCAAATAACAAACATTCTTACTGAATAATTCATGTAAGCGCTTTAACAAAAAAATTAAATAAAACTCGAGCTTCACATTTCTGCTTTTAAACTCTCCAGCCCGCTCTTATTATGAGTGTGTTAATGTACAGTAAAAAGTGTTTTTGCAAGTTGATGGACAAGACAAAATTACAAAAGACCATTGTACCAGCATCTTTTGATATGATATAAGTCAAACAATACGGCCTACTAAGAGAAAGAGAGAGAGAGAGAGAGAGATTATGATTATGTAATGGAATGGTGGCTTTAGGCAGGAGTGTGTGTGTGTGTGTGTGTGTGTGTGCGTGCGTGCG